ATATTTGTACTCTAATGTTCTTTTCTAGGGAATCTAATTTCTGTGGTATACTGTTTTATTAAATTGCCTAATAAAATAAATAGCAATAATAAAAGAGATATTGCAAAGCCACCCTTTTGTGCAGTTATTTTAAAAGATCCGTGTAAGCAAAATTTCACCCAATTCATTACAACTGTCAACACCTATACCATATCTCAAATGTGTATAAAACTTTAAAACCAAATAAAGGCATAGTGCTATTATCTTTCTAACACAACATCACACAATTAATCCTAAATTATTTAGCAAATCTATAATCTTTCAAAATAAAGTGTCCATATACATTGAAGTCTTTTACAAAATCTTTAGTGCTTCTTATAGCGCTCTCTCTTCCTATAGTGCTCATTTATTCACCTCATGTGCAGCCTCCACAAGTTGTGCTCACCTTAAAATTATGACCCACACATAAAATGTAAGGTCATAGATAGTTTGTGTCCTTTTAAATAGGATCCTTTACACTCTAGCTTTTTCTCCTTTTTCCCACTGTCAAATGCATCCAGTCCCTTTAAGTGCAATCCTCCAATAAGCATTCTTATTCGTCCATTCCTCCAGGATAATTTTAAACAGGTTATTCCTGTCCACTTCACATACAATGTGCTCACCTTTCAATGCCATTTCAATGTGCATAAGCACATTGATAATAGATACTGCACTTCCAGGTTCCATACAACTTGCTGACCTCATCCAAATGCTCCGCCCTGACACACTTCGTCACAAAACCACAAGCCTTCCTCAGGATTTCACATGGTGTTGTAATGAAATGCATTAGGACAGAGCTTATGATGGCAATATCTATTATTTGCTGAATATCAGCAATAACATTGTGAGGATATAAAAAGTAGTGTGTTTATGCACGTTGAAATGTGACTGAATTGTATGTGACGTGGGCATGAATATATTGTTTTTTTAGAGTGTTGCAGCCAAGGCTTCATATTGCCTTATTGATCTGTGTAGTGATCTTCTTGGACATATGGTCCAGGGCCCTTTATAACAAAGTTTGAATTTGTCCAGGGTCGGGCATTCATCCAAAGGAACCAGGGGATGTATGGGGTTCAAAGTGTAAGGGCTGGAGGATTCTATGTCCAGCAAGCTCTCTCGAGAAAGGTGAGACATCTTGTGATTTTGTAGTGCCCAACTTTGTGGTAGCTCATGCAAGGGTCTGCTTGATAGATTCGCGACCATTTTTCCCTTTAGCCTCTGGTGCAAGCTGTTGCGCCAGGCCAACACAGCACACCTGTCTGGCCAGATGGGTATACAATTGAATTAAACAATTGGGGTGAATTCAGACTCACATTTTCAGTTAACATCAGCAAATGTGCTCAGCTGGTGCAGAGCATCATTAAGCTGTTACCATCACAGTTGCCATGCAAATGTGGGATCAGGAAGGATTTTTTTCCCCTGCAGGAGAAAAGTGGGTTATGCTTTGCTGGGTATTTTGCCTTCCTCTGGATCAACTGTGGGTGTAGAATCATAACTTGTTTTTTGATTTTTTTTTATGGTTGAACTGGATGGACTTTTGTCTTTTTTTCAGCCTGATTAACTATTGCAATAATGTGCCCTTTACCCCAGATGGTGCTTCTCACTGTAAATTCATAATAAAAGTTTAGATTTTAAGCAAATAAAAACATCATACCTAAAATGAATATTAGTGAGTAGTTTTGATGATAATAAACTGTGAAGTAAACATCTACACATATTTAAGTGATAATGGCATAATGTATCCTTTCCAAGGGGATTAATTGTATTCAGTATCATACACCATGCAGGTCTGAGAAAGCACTATGTGTTTTTTTAAATGGCACATATTATAATAAAGCTGCTGCTTTAAATTGATATTTGTTATTCCACTTATAATACTTTTAGTGCTTGCATGAGCTAGTTATTTAACCCAAGTCATTCTTGTGTAATGCATCTATCTACTTATAATTCAAAAATTATGATTTCGCTATTGTTAACTAATTGGAGTCTAAAATGTAATTTACACTATAATACTGTATAATTGCTATAAACCCTCCAAGAAGATTTCCAACCGCAATCAGACATGTATTCTGTTAAGCTCTCTTCCTGACTGGTAAACTAGGAGGAAAACAGCCAGAAGGAGCCTTTGGGATATCTGAACTATGTGGTTATCATGACCACAATCTCAGGTTACATTTAAAGTGCTACATTCATTTGCATGCCATCATCGATCTATCTCAGCAGAAACAACAGATTGAGTATATAGGAGGAAAACCTCAGATAAACCTGAAGCACAACCACATCCATCAGTCAGCTCCTAAATGGGAATGTAGAAGAGACTTTTAGACTGTTTTATACTTGAAGAGATCAGCTTGATTTCTTTATCAGTGTTATTATTATTATTATTATTATACAGTATTTATATAGCGCCAACAGTTCGCTCAGCGCTCTACATTACAATGGGAGACAATACATGAGACAGTACAATAACAATACAATGCGATACACGAGGGATTCGAGGGCCCTGCTCCTTGGAGCTTACAATCTAGGAGTTAGGGGATAGTGGTACAGGAGGAAAAGCTGTGGGGGATGGAGTGGTAGGAAGAGTGGAGGAGATAGGCAGTTAGCAGAGGGTGGGGTATGCTTCCCTGAAGAGGTGGATTTTTAGGGTGCGCCTAAAGGAGAGGAGAGTGGGTAATAGTCTGATGGATTGGGGTAGGGAGTTCCAGAGGATGGGTGATGCCCTGAAGAAGTCCTGGAGGTGGGCATGGGAGGAGGAGATCAGGGAACTGGGTGGTTTTGGGTGGTATTTGGATATTAGGTTGGTGATGTAGTTTGAGGCAGTGTTATGGACAGCTTTGTACGTCAGTGTTAGGATTTTGAATTTGATCCGTTGGGCAATTGGAAGCCAGTGGAGGGATTATCAGAGGGGGGTGGCAGAAACGGAGCGGTTGGTAAGGTGGATGAGTCTGGCCGCCGCATTCAGGATCAACTGAAGTGGGGATAGCCTGTTGTGAGGCAAGCCAGTGGAGGAGGGAGTTTCAGTATTCCAGTCGTGATATGATGAGGGAGTGGATGAGCTGCTTAGTAGTTTCTGGGGTTAGGAATGGGCGTATTTTGGCGATGTTGCGGAGGTGGAGTCTGCATGAGTTTGTTAGTGATTGGACTTGGAGCTGGAAGGATAGATTGGAGTCTAGTATGACACCAAGTACTCTGGCTTGCGGGGTGGGCTTGATGGTGGCATGGTTGGACGTGATGGAGAAGTCAGTGTGGGAGGGTGCGCAGGCTGGGGGGAAGACTAGGAGCTCGGTTTTGGAGAGGTTCAGTTTAAGGAAGTGGAGCGACATCCAATCTGATATGTCGTTCAGTAGGCTGGTGATTCGGGTGGAGACTGAAGGGGTGAGGCGAGGGGTCAAGAGATAGATTTGCATGTCGTCAGCATAGAGGTGGTAGTTGAAGCCGTGGGAGTTTATCAGTTGGCCAAGGGAGGAGGTGTAGATGGAGAAGAGAAGGGGCCCGAGGACAGAGCCTTGAGGGACCCCAACAGAGAGGGGGAGTGGGGTTATGATTGATGAGTGTGATGTGTGTTAATGTTTTTAGAAATCTTGTGTCTATATATATAGTATGTAATTCTATAAGTACACAGAGGTAGCCATATTTGTTCATTACATATGCAGGTTTTGATTATCTGCAATATTTCAGCCTCATAGTGCCTCATACTCTCTAACAATGTAAGACGATGGGCTGACTTCATGCTTGCTACATGATGGACAGGATCCTTTTCCTCTTTAGATCATATCCCAGCAGTCTTATATGATGATATCACTGCTGCTCTCAGCATCTTTACATTGTGAGTGCAGGGTACAGTGATGACATTCCCTCAATAGACAGGTCCATAGTACTCTGCACTCTCAGAATGACCTCAGTCTTCTGGGGAATGACAACACAGACTAAGGCCATCTGGTAACAGAAAGGAATTATGGCAGGGAACAGTGCCTGAGAGATGGTGAACACTGCAGCCAATGCTGCTTTTTCATTTTGAAACCTCCAACGAACCATTAAAAAAATAGCCTGGAGTTGGGCTTTAAAGTTTTTTTGTATGTATAATATAACTTAATATTGCATACCAACCAGAAATATCAAGTGGCTCATAGTCAAAGATAAATTAGACAATCTACTGTAATACTGTTGTGTGATTTTTTAACTCAGGTTCAGATACCTGACATCTGTCTGTGATACCCAATTCAAGAGATAATATGTAGCTACATAACGACCAGACAGACTCAAGTATGATGAATAAGCTGTTCTGTTTATTTCAGCACATTCTTAGATTAAAATGGTTGTAAAGGATCAAGGTTTTTTTACCTTCATGCATTCTATGCATGAAGGTAAAAAACTTCTGTGTGCAGCAGCCCCCTGAGCCTTCCTAATACTCTCCTAATACCCCCAAGTCCCATCATGATCCAGAAATGTGCACAAGAGCCTCAGCTCTCCAGGGACTCTCCTTCCTTATTGGCTAAGATAGCAGTGGGAGCCATTAGCTCCCGCTGCTGTCAATCACAGTAATTCAATGAGGAGAGAGAAGGGACAGGGGTGAGACACGGCTCTGTGTGTGAATGAACATGTATTGGATTGGGAGCAAGCCTGCTCAGGTGCTTCCATAGCAAGCTGCTTGGCTCTGGAGGCACTTGGCAGGAGGGAGGGCCCAGGAGCACCAGCGGGGGACCCGAGAAGAGAAGGGCTGGGTCTGCTCTGTGCAAAACCATTGAACAGAGCAGGTAAATGCATGATGTTTTTTTTTAACCACTTCCCAACTGGCCATTGTACATAAACGGCCGGATGGTGGCACTGCAGGGTCGGTGCCCGCTGTGTCCTCCGGACACAGTGAAACGGGACCTCTGTACGATGTCCCGATCATGTGATCACTGATTGGCCAATCAGTGATCACATGCAAAGTAGTAAGCAAGATGTCACTTCTGACATCATTGCTTACTACGTGTGAAATCTGTGAATGATCACAGAGGTCACATGGTACAAGGCTATTCACAACAGCCTTGTACCATGTGACAATCTGTGACCAATCACAGCTCACTCAGTAGTTCTCAATGGCTGCAAGAATGCAGACAGAGAGAAAGAGAAATTATTGCTTTTACATCCTATATGGGTGTAAAAGCAATCAGTGTAAAAAAAAAAAAAAAAAATCTTCATCACCCCCGAAAAGTAGTACAGTGACACTGTACTGCTAGGGTGACAGTATGTAAAAAAAAAAAAATAAAATAAATAATAATAAAAAAAAATATATAAAAATGTAAAAAAAAATGTTTAAAAATTATAATTTTGGTTATAAACTAATTTGGCTTATTTTTTTGTTTACTAAAAAAATAACGGAATAATTTTGGCCAAGATTTATGATGAAATATTATTTATTTGCTAAATTTTTATAAGAACACTTTTTTTCAAAATGTTTGGACATTTTCATTTACATGCAAAAAAAAATAAAAATCCCAGCGGTGAATAAATACCACCAAAATAAAGTTATATCTGTCTCAAAAAAATGGTAAAAAATTCATATGGATACAGTGTTGCATGACCGCGCAATTGTCATTCAAAGTGTGATCGTGCTGAAAGCTAAAAATTGCCCTGGTCAGGAAGTGGGTAAAAGTGTCCGGACTGGAAGTGGTTAATTTGCCTTTAATATCACTTTAAGTATATAGGTTGACATATGTCTTGTAGGTTGGTATAACATTGACCAATTAAAGAATAATATAATTACAGAAAGCATTAAATTAATTGTCTTGTGATCATGGTTCATCTAAAAGGTATCATGAGGATGGTTATATCTTGTGGTTTAACGTGCCGTTCAAAAATAATGTCCAGATGTCGATTTCCTGGAACTTTTTGCCATTGGGTTCTCCAAACATAAATCGCACATTTTGGTAAGTCATGAGAATTTATTTTTGCAAAATGCCTAGTGTACATGTAAAGGAAAAACAAGCACAGATTAAACATTTTATAATGAAGCCATTTTGTTCCTAAACACCCATCCTTGCCACCTCACTACTAGGACATTATGGCAATGTCCAAGAGCTAAAGAGCTAACACATCTTCTAAATATTGAGGGGAACCACAGAATATAAATGTTTTATAGTTAAAGAATGTCACATTTTACGGCTAATTCACACTGAAGCTGTATAGAGACATTTGACAGCTGGTACTGACCCCTGCCAAGCACCAATAAAATGATGGACCTGAATGTGTGCTTAGTTCATGGGTATGGTGAAGTATTGCAGCATAGAGGCCAATATGCTACAAGTCGAACTGACTCCTGATTTTAGTAACGTCTCTTTGCAGGTCCCCCAAGGACTGGTTTAGCTGCAGGTGGAGTGTAGCCCACACATTCTGCACTGAATGCTCTTCTGCTTCTAAAACAATGTGATTATAGCCTAAAAAAAAGTAATCAAGGTTTATTTAGTATATAATGTAGGTAGGCAAACAGATATCTGTCACCATAGGACAATAATATTTCTACCTGACTGATTGCGCTTTCATAAAGTAAAATCACACATACTCTACAAACAATTGGAGCAACATCTGACTCTGCCAAAATCCCAAGTATTAGACCACAATAACCTGAAGCCTATGTTTAACAAGCTGTATCCTGCTGTTGTGCTCTACACAACACTAGCTTGCTTTTAGTGCAGACAATGCTTGAAAAAGTAAATGATTTGTAAAATATATCATTATGCTTTTATATGGAGAATGAGAGGTTAGTATTAATGTGTTCACTTTTTATAGTCAGGTCTATTGTGGCTAATCTACATTCCTGTGTACAGATTCAACTTTATTTACACAAAGACTACACAATATAATTAATACATTCACAAAACCATTCAAGATTAAATGATCACATACATTGATAAATTATGTATACTATAAATACATTAAAGTAATGCTTTTAGCCATGGCACACAAAACAGTTTCATAATGATGGACGAAATTCTGTGGTAAATGTTGACAAATTTTTGTAGTGAGGTTCACATGGTGAATTAAGGCAGAAAAGCGCCATCATTAATGTTGCTTCAAAATTCCATGCAAGTAATTGTCACTGAAACTCACTGCAATACATCATTAAAGTATTCAAGCAATCATCATTAAAGTGTAATGTAAGAAAGTGTATATATATAGTAAAAATTATATAGAAAGTGCATCGCTTAAAAAACAAAAATTGACTATATAATTAGCACGTTTAACCACGGACATTGATGTAGAGTTTTATCCTATTTATATATCTCAGATTTTATATTGTAACATCATTTACTACTGCACTTTACTTCATGGATCACCACGGACATTATTGTATATAGATTCTGCCCGTGATACACTTTACTATTTGGCATTTGCTGTTTTGAGCTGTTTAGCTGATATTTTCATGCTTTTACTTGATGCACTTTACTGTTTCACTCAGCTCATTACATTCATGCTGTACTTTACCATATTGTTTGATTTTTAGATTTCGCATTTACTAATGTGTTTTGCACTTTTATGTGTTGCACTTTTCCATTCCGCAATAATGTTTTTTTTAAGCGCTGCACTTTCTTACATTACTATTGTACTGGGCAGGAAGGGGTTAACATCTGGGGGGATCAAAGGGTTAACTGTGTGTGTTTTATTATGGGGCTGTGTGTGCTTTTCCACTGTAAGCACACTGCTTTGTATGGCTCTGCTATGCTGACAGGGGAGAGATCTGTGTGGTTTACATACAGTTCTCTCTCTCCATCTGTAATACTTGGCAATCACCATGTGCCGGCGAGTAATCACCGGGTCCCAGCCATTGACAGAAGAATGGTGCCGCAGGTAGGGCGCGCGTGTGCCTGTGCATGCCCCCTACCTGGTAATGCAAAATCACATGTATATATATGTGATTTTGCTCACTCCTGCTGCCCTGTAGCAGGATTTCTGCTATAGGGTGGCGGGAAAGCAGTTAATTACACTAATAAACGTCTTATTCTGAAGTTTCAAAAATAAATAGTAACAACAACAATGTAAACATGAAAGGAAAATAAGTGCTTTACATCAATAGGGACATCAACGCTGAGGCACTAATTCTCCTAGTGACACCAAAGCTGAGGCACTATTCCTCCCATTGACTCCAACGATGGGGCACTATTCCTCCCACTGACACCAATGATGGGGCACTATTCCTCCCACTGACACCAACAATGGGGCACTATTCCTCCCACTGACACCAATGATGGGGCACTATTCCTCCCACTGACACCAACAATGAGGCACTTATTCCTGCTACTGACACCAATGATGGAGCACTATTCCTCCCACTGACACCAATGATGGAGCACTATTCTTCCCACTGACACCAACAATGGGGCACTGATCCTCCCACAGGCACAAACAATGGAGCACTATTTCTTCCACTGACGCCAATGATGGGGCACTATTCTGAACACTGACACCAACGATAGGGCACTATTTCTCCCACTGACATCAACAGTGGGACACTATTTTTCAAACTGACGCCAATGAAGTGGAATCATTCCTCCCACTTACACCAATGACATGGCATCATTCCCCCCACTGACACCAATGACGTGGCACCATTCCTCCCACTGACACCAATGATAGGGCACCATTCCTCCCATTGACACCAAGCATGGGGCATTGTCCCTTTTACTGATACCGATTATAGGGTACAATTCAACCACTGATACAAATGCTGAGTCCCCACACAATGATTGTGTGTCTCCACAGTTCGGGGCCCTGGAGAGGTTCTTACTTGTGTTGTCAGTGGCTGTCATCCATCCGAGTGGAGTGTCCTTCGTCCTCTCCCCGAGTACCTGGGCTCCTCATCCCTCCTTCAGCTCCAGGAACAGAAGTGCCATGCGGGGTGACACGTCTGGGTCCCAGTGTCCGATACTCGTGATCAGAGTGGCCACTGCATGCTAAGTCACACCCATCTTGTTCCCGTACACAATTCTAGAGCAGTGGGGGGAGCCCACCCACTGCTCTAGAATTGGTCAGAGAGTCAGTGGAGCTCATGGCCCCGCTGCTGCCTGTCTCCTGTCTTGTGCAGAGTGTCAGCACACACTCGCCCCCATATTATTTTCACTCACCAAATGCGAGCAGGCAAGTGGAAATTTCAAGGCCTACCTTACATCCAAATGGTTAATAACACCAGACAAATACCATATCATTTTAGATGAAGTGACAGCATACAAAGAGGCACTGTAGTTTGATCATAAGCCTATCAGCTTCAATATATAATCTCTGTTAAGGAAATGGAGTTTTTTATATATTTGAATAAAGGTTATATATTTGTTATTTCAGGTTAGGGGGTCTACAACCAAGACCTTTCAGATGAGATAGCGAGTCCAAATGATAAAGAAAGGTGCATTTATTACTCTCTTTCTTAAGCTTTTGGCTAATGTATATATAGACATAAGATCCAGGCATGATCGTATAAAGTCCAGGCGTGTTCATATGTCTTAATCTAATCAAATCCTCATATGCTTAACAGCAAACTCATAGTTAAGAGCGGGTTAACATCACATGATCAGTCCAAAATAGCATCCATCATGACAGTTGCTGGTTCAAACTGGTTTGACCATAAGATGCTTTTCTGATCCTTGAAAGAGGAAGATAGCATTTTCTAGCTGGCTAGGTGTTTACGTCACATGCATACACTTCAAACCACATTTCCCAAGGAGAATAAAAGGGAAGTAAAAACTCTTAAAAATGACTGTATACATATACAGGTGAAACTCGAAAATATTAGAATATCGTGGAAAAGTTCATTTACTTCAGTAATGCAACTTAAAAGGTGAAACTAATATATGAGATAGACTCATTACATGCAAAGCAAGATAGTTCAAGCCGTGATTTGTCATAATTGTGATGATTATGGCTTACAGCTCATGAAAACCCCAAATCCACAATCTCAGAAAATTAGAATATTACATGCAATCAATAAAACAAGGATTGTACATAGAACAATATCGGACCTCTGAAAAGTATAAGCATGCATATGTACTCAGTACTTGGTTTGGGCCCCTTTTGCAGCAATTATTGCCTCAATGCGGCGTGGCATGGAAGCTATCAGCCTATCAGCCTGTGGCGCTGCTGAGGTGTTATGGAAGACCAGGATGCTTCAATAGCGGCCTTCAACTTTTCTGCATTGTTCGGTCTCATGTCTCTCATCTTTCTCTTGGCAATGCCCCATAGATTCTCTATGGGGATCAGGTCAGGCGAGTTTGCTGGCCAATCAATCACAGTAATCCCATGGTCATTGAACCAGGTTTTGGTGCTTTTGGCAGTGTGGGCAGGTGCCAAATTGTGCTGGAAAATGAAGTCAGCATCCCCATAAAGCTCGTCTGCAGAAGGAAGCATGAAGTGCTCCAAAATCTCCTGGTAGATGGCTGCGTTGACCCTGGACTTAATGAAGCACAGTGGACCAACACCAGCAGATGTCATGGCTCCCCAAATCAACACAGACTGTGGAAACTTCACACTGGACTTCAAGCATCTTGCAGTGCGTTCCTCTCCATTCTTCCTCCATACTCTGGGTCCTTGGTTTCCAAATGAGATGCAAAAAGTTGCTCTCATCAGAAAAGAGGACTTTGGACCAATGAGCAACAGACCAGGTCTGTTTTTCTTTAGCCCAGGTAAGACGCTTCTGACGTTGTTTGTTGTTCAGGAGCGGCTTGACAAGAGGAATACGACATTTGAAGCCCATGTCCAGGATCCGTCTGTGTGTCCCCAACACTTTTGAATGGCCTTTTCCTGACAATCCTCTCCAGGCTGTGGTCATCCCTTCTGCTTGTGCACCTTTTTCTTCCACACTTTTCCCTTCCACATAACTTTCTATTAATGTGCTTTGATACAGCACTTTGGGAACATCCAACTTCTTTTGCAATTACCTTTTGAGGCTTTCCCTCCTTATGGAGGGTGTCAATGATGGTTTTCTGCACAACTGTCAGGTCAGCAGTCTTTCCCATGATTGTGATTCCTACTGAACCAGACTGAGAGACCATTTAAAGGCTCAGGAACCCTTTGCAGGTGTTATGGCTTAATTAGCTGATTAGAGTGGGACACTTTGAGCCTAGAATATTGCACCTTTTCACAATATTCAAATTTTCTGAGATTGTGGATTTGGGGTTTTCATGAGCTGTAAGCCATAATCATCACAATTATGACAAACCACGGCTTGAACTATCTTGCTTTGCATATAATGAGTCTATCTCATATATTAGTTTCACCTTTTAAGTTGCATTACTGAAATAAATTAACTTTTGCACAATATTCTAATTTTTCGAGTTTCACCTGTATATGTGTATATTAGAACATTCATTATCAGACCCCGTATATTTCTACTCATATTTTAGATTCATTTTAGATTGGCCAGATAGTGCATAGGGAAACACACCCTTGTCCAGTATAGATTTGTTATTTGCCAAAGATGATGATTTACAATTAGGAGTTCAATAGTAGAAAAAAACATATACACATATTGCATAACTGAGAACAAATGCTAAGCACTATATGTGAAAAACTGGCACATTTTCATCCATTTCTAGCCAGCAATAGGTACACAAAGTAAAGGTGGCCTCCACTATGTACAGATGAGAGAAACACATTAACCACTTCATGTCCGGACACTTTTACCCCCTTCCTGTCTAGGCCAATTTTCAGCTTTCAGTGCTATCACACTTTGAATGACAATTGCGCGGTCATGCAACACTGTACCCATATGAATTTTTTTAGCATTTTTTGAGACAGATAAAGCTTTATTGACCACTGGGATCTTTATTTTTTTTGCTATGTAAATGAAAATGTCCAAAAATTTAGAAAAAAAGTGTTTTTCTTATAAAATTTTGCAAATAAATAATATTTCATCATAAATCTTGGCCAAAATTTATTCCGTTATCTTTTTAGTAAAAAAAATAATGACCCAAATTTATTTATAACCAAAAATTATAATTTTTAAATTTTATTTTATTTTTTTATACTGATTGCTTTTACACCCATAAAGGTTGTAAAAGCAATCATTTCTCCTTCTCTCTGGCTACATTCTTGCAGCCATTGAGAACTGTGTGAGCTGTGATTTGTCACAGCTTGTCACATGGTACAAGGCTGTTGTGAATAGCCTTGTACCATGTGACCTCTGTGATCATTTACAGATTTCACACGTAGTAAGCAATGATGTCAGAAGTGACATCTTGCTTACTACTCTGCATGTGATCACTGATTGGCCAATCAGTGATCACATGATCGGGACCTTGCACAGAGGTCCCGTATGACGATTGGTGTTCCACTGTGTCCGGAGGACACAGCAGGCACTGGATTGCGGCCAGGGAGCACGCACAAGCAGGGGGCGGAGAGGCCATTTATAAATGTACTCTGTTAATGTTGGTCTCTCTCCTCTCATTTCTACTTTTCAGGCATATTAAAGCGGTATTAAACCAAAAGCCAAAAAATGCCTTATAATGGAACTTACCAGTCATTAGATGTGTTGGCTGCATCAGTTTTCTTTTTTTCTTTGGCTTTTTTCCCCTCTGTTTTCATGATGATTTGACCAGTAACACACCTTCTGTGTTAGTGAGACACAACACTGGAGGAATGAGATAGGAGGCACAGCGGAAAGCAGCATTGTCAGTCTGGGGGGAGGGGTGTTAAATGTATTAGCAGATTTAAATAAACTAGCAAATTGATGCCAAACTCCAGATCATACTTTATAATAAAGGGTTTTACATGAATAAATAAAAACTAATCATTTTAATAACCCTTGCAAATGTTGAATGGTCTCATCCTTGTAAACTTATGCATTCTGGTAGAGAACTTGAACTTTTGAAACACAGCAGAGTTCCTGGCTGGATTACCAGATGAAAATAGAATAAAAAGCCTAAAAGAATAAATAAATGCAGCCATCACATCTAAGAATTGGTAAGCTGCAATATAATAAATGTTTGCTTTTGAGTTTAATACTGCTTTAAAGAACATGGTTAGAACTTGCAGTATATATGCAATACAATAATACCTGAACTTCAGCTTTAAAGTGAGGGAAACTACAAAATTTTGAGTTGGATCTTAAAATAGGAGAGAGCGAAACCTTCCAATGGGGGATACCCAGGGGCGGACTGACCATTTGGAAACTCGGGCACTGCCCGTGGGCCCGGGGTCAGTAGGGAGCCCCATGAGATGCCCCTGGTACCTTTTTCATAGGTTTTTTTGAGTTTGGGCAAGGACTCAGGGGCCCCATGATCCCCTATTGCCCGGGGGCCCCATGAGTTGTCAGTCCGCCCCTGGGGACACCTGTTTCCAAAGATAACCATCTAAGAGTAGGTTTCCTTAATTTTGGAGAGACTTCCTCTCACTTTATGTGGGGTCTACAGGACAGAAGGTTAAGAGATACCATCCCAGTAGAACAGAACTAACAAAAAATAAAACTTTTTGTGAATTTCTTACTTTAAAAAGTTTTGGTTGTAGACACAGTTTTAGTTTAACCACCTCCCGCCCACCATATAAGGAAATGATGGGAGCAAGGTGGTTCTCTCGTTCTGGGAGGACGTCATATGACATCCTCCCACTCTAACCGTGCATGCGCGCGCCCCGAGGGCGCGCAGTGCAGCGATCAGTGGTGCGCTGTGTCCCTGGGACACAGTGGATCACAGATCAGCGGAAAGAGCCAATGACTTTGGCTCTGTCATGTGATCAGCTGTTTCCAATCACAGCTGATCACATGTAAGGAAATGCCAGTTATCTGCATTTCTCTCTTCATGGCATTTCTCTCTCTGACAGACATGAGGAGAGGACAGCCGTAATCGGGACAGAGGGGACATCTACACTGATCATCAAGGCACTGATGATCAGTGCCCTTATGATCAGTGTAGCCCCATCAGTGCCACCTGTCATTGCCCATCAATGTCACCTGTCAGTGCCCATCAGTGCACATCAATGCCACATATCAGTGCCTACTTGTGCACATCAATGCCACATATCAGTGCCCAGCTGAGCTGCCTTTCAGTGCCACCTATCAGTGCCAGTCAGTGCCACCTATGAGTGCTGCCAATCATTGCCACTTATCAGTGCCAGTCAGTGCCGCCTATCACTGCCAGTCAGTGCCACCTATCAGGGCCCATTAGTGCCACCTATCAGTGCCTGTCAGTGCCACCTAACAGCTTCAGTCAGTGCCACTTAACAGTGCCAGTCAGTACCACCTATCAGTGCCAGTCAGTGCTGCCTATAAGTGCCACCTATCAGTGCCATATATGAGCACTGCCTTTCAGTGCCCATCAGTGATGCCTGTCAATGCCCATCAGTGCCACCTACCAGTGCCTCCTCATCAGTGAGAAATGTTGTGCCTTTTTTTATATAGATTAGTGCATTTTAATATAAATGCTTTTTAATGCATATTGATGGGTAATATAACATTTTTGACACACATTTTACATGTGCTTTTATTGAACAATGTACATCATCAATGTGCGTTGATGAATTTTACAGTACCTTTTTTTTTCACAAGGAATGTTGGCACATAGCATGGATCTAAATGAGCAGACGTGATGCAAATTAATTGATCTTTTTTTGATGATCTTGGTTTAAATCAGATAAAAGAGGCCATTTTGACTTTGTAGATGTTCCTACACTGATAAAACTATCATTCTTCTGCCCCTATTAGATCATTTGTCCAAAAGGGATAATAGAATTAGCCCCTAGGTGTCACTGTTTACACTGTTGTATATGCAGAGATCGTATCCAAGGGGTTCAAGTTTTTTTGTACATGGACAAATAAAATACGCAGGAGGAGTATTAAAGAAGTATGATTTCAGTCTACATTTACAAAAACGGAAATTAAGGTAGTGACTTGTTGATATATGTAAATATGCTTATGTGGATAGCAGATTATATTAACAGTACAAATACGAAAAAACTGGAATGGAATCTAATAGATCGTTTTGTATTTCCAAGGTAGATCCAAGATTTTGAAATATGTCTAATTAATATACTAATATGTCTTATTTTCACTATTACAGTACTACCTTGCCCAGGGGCGGACTGACAACTCATGAGGCCTCCGGGCAATAGGGGATCATGGGGCCCCTGTGTCCTTGCCCAAACTCAAAAAAGCCTATGAAAAAGGTACCAGGGGCATCTCAAGGGGCCCCCTACTGACCCCAGGCCCTCGGGCGGTGCCCCAGTTTCCAAATGGTCAGTCCGCCCCTGACCTTGCCCATCCATGATATTACACTGTAGTCACCAGCTCATGCATCCCTGAGGAAGGGTCTCAACCACTGCCCATACATACTTATAAATATTATGGACATTTACAGAGCCTTATATTTATACACATATTTTATCTCACAACAGTGAATATCACAGAATGCATTTGGGTTCAAAAAATGCAAAAAAAAGTGCAAAGCATGGAAATTGCCAATTTTCCAGAATAAAGTGCTGGTACTCTTCAGAGATCACTTATTTGGTACATACTGTATATGAGCTTGTACAAATGAACAGGCAGTGGTAGAATGAGAGTCATGACAGTATAACCACACTCATGCCTGTTTCCCGAAGGGCATAGCCCACCTCCCAAAATTACTGTAATATCTTTTCGTTTATTATCAGTGAAATGTTAGAACATGGAAGCCTTTTGCTGATCAATAGTGATAATCAAATCTTAGCAGATCTGCTCCAGCAATGATTCGGCAAATATCAATATTTGCTTTTCTGGATGTTTATTCACAATCTGCCTATCATGCAATGAGCTGCTATGTTTTTGGACCCCTTACAGGCTAATAAAACAGGACTTTGGTTAGTGAATGAGCAAGCAATATCCAATATAATCCCACATTTATTGATTAGTAGAAGACACAAAGGACTATAGGGCTGCACAAACCACAGAGGTACCACAAGGGGAGTCATATTACTGTAGCTGATCTCTTTTGCCCAATGCTGATCAACAATAGCTGAGTGGAGATAAGAGGAGATGTGGTCTCCCAACGTTAGCTGGAGAGCAGTCCAAAATACCCCTTAACCAGTTCACTTTTTTAGTGCATTTTCACTTGATGGATTGCTAATCCATAATAAACATTCACTTATTATGAATTGGACCAGTCTAGGTCAAAACCCACCTTGGGTTTTGCTCATTGCTACTAACAATATTTTTCTGCTGTTACTTTCTTTGGTTCAATCGGAGGGGAGTGTTCAGGAAATTCAGTTGGCATTAGGCACAGGCAACTGTGAATGTGAGCACTCTGTTATGTGGCTCTTCACTTAGGGTTGTGACTGGGTGTGCTTCTCTACACATGGGTGTAAGCATTTGTGTGCATGCTTCATAAAGTTTCATGTGTGTTCCCACATGCTTGTCATCGATGTGCACTTGTCCAGTGCCTATTCTGGCACCAAATGGACTATTTAAGGCCACTTCTACCCTTCTGTTCCTTTACTAACCTGATGCTCTGTTATTGACGTAGTTTGTTTTCCCTACCTGCTCACTGGAATTTTCTTCTCCTTGTTGCCTGGACTATTTTGCTGCCTGCAAGTTACCGATCTCAGATATTCACTAGACCTTGTCTCTGCCTGCTGTTCCTGTACATCATTGACTACCTGTTGCTGACCTTAGCACATCCATGAAAGTTGCATTTACCTGCTGGCTCCTGGACATCTGCCAGTGACTCCTTGCTGACATCTGGCTGTCTAACTTCAGTAAATTCTGTACATCTGTACCAACTCTGCAATCCTTTATGCCTTGAGATACACATGGGGGATGTAGTCCACCTACTTAATGTTCTTCATACATAAATTACTGTAGTACACCAGTCCATCCAACTGATGATTCTAAAACACATCTGCTTGTGATTCTAGGACACCCAGCCACCTCACAGTCACTAATTTAATTCAAATCTGCCTTGGAAGTGTAAATGTTACTGGCAGTACAGGAAGAGACAAAGAGGGCGTTACAGAGCAAAATGAAAGTGTAACAGGTGGGAGGAAGCGGCCAAATGATCAGACAGGGGTAGCAGTAACTTGAACTTCTTTAAACAGGTTCAGAGTAGAATTATAAGAGCAATGTCTCTGCCCAAAAAGGAAACTAGGTGGCATTACTGCATAGTCTCTATAAGGCCCTATAGTCAGAGATACTAGAGAATGGCCACTACTACATTAAACAGTACAGAATATAAACAATTACTTGCGCTTAGCCTCTGCAACATCGTCTCTCACACTGAAGTCCAAGATAGATTTTGGTACACAGGTGAACAGCTAAAGGGATCTCTAGTCCAGCATTACATGCAAATGGTTGGAGGAGTCCCGGGGCTGGTACCACAGACGGGCAGCTGAAGATGCAGGGCAATCCCACTTGAAGTAAAGTAGCAATTGGCATGGTGTTCTTCGCAGTGGCTGGGTCTTCCTTGGGAGTTGCATGCTATTGGGCTCCAGCCCAGTTGCCTCCATACAGCCCATGCACCAGGATTTAACGGTGGAGGACCAAACAACTGTCAGAAGACAGCCATTAGTCCCAGCAGCTCACACACCAGGACTAATGGTGGAGAACCAAACACCTGTCGGCAGGTGACATGCCTAGATAACTCTGTCTCATCAGATGTGGTGTCTTTGTGCACCTGAATGTAAGAAGCAGGGAAGCTTACATCTCCTGTAGTCCAGTATCTTGTGGAAGCCCAGGAGATTGTGGCAAAAGGCATTAAAGGGGCCTGCATCTGCATCTGAGCATCTGAGCATTGTAATTTTGCAGACCAAACAAAGCCATCCTGCACAAAGCACTTAGGGGGTCTCCCAAAGTTACGTCTCTAGGAGTGCTACAGGAGTTGAGTTCCAGCCTTAACTTCTGGGAAAAGAGGAGATGAGTCTCTGCCTTCAGGTGCATTAGTAAACATGGAGCTCAGTTGGGTAGCCAGCAGGTTATGTAACATTGTCAGTATCCATGACTTTTAGAGGTAGTGGTGGATGAGTATGACACAGCCATCAATAAACCCCTAGTGGCCAAGATGCTTGTAGTTCATGAACTTGAAAAGCTTCTTCAAAAACCCCTTATGGAATAGGCTGTAATGACAACTAAAAAGACTTATCCCCATGGTGTTTGAGGTTTTCCTTGGTGTTGTGTGCCTTTGCATCAGACTCACACCCTGTTCTCAGGTTGAAGGTCAAAGTCTGATGCTTCTGACTTCCCTTACTCCATGTATAGCCAGTCTTTAACAGTCTGGTAGGCTTCATCCAGGCATTGTTTTCATTGCCAAATCCAGGAATTCTGAGTGTGCTCCAGTTCTGCTGTGGAGACTGTGGCCCAAAGATCTGTTCCACCCCCCTTTCCCAGAGTACTGCCAAGCATAACATGGTAGTGCGAGTGTCCTGTCACATAGTACACCATATGACTGTATTTCCAGTTTCATAGAGGACCTGGGCTCTTGACAATGCGACCTGGCTGGGTCATGTGATCAGTCAAGGGGGAACATTACTCTGATGAACAGACCATTCACTCAGCAGTTTGTTGGTTTCTGGTAATAGTTTGGATCTTTCTCTGGGACTGGGCTACTACTGTAACTGCATCACCTCTGTTAGGGGGCAACCAATGGATCCTATCTCTGTTTCTCTACCACGTTATGCTCTTACAGTATATGGATATTGTTCTACTGGGTCCTTTCTCCAGTCAAGACAGAGATTTCTCACTGTTCTTCTTGGTTCTTGGATGGAGGGCCATTACATTTTTTCCACCCCATGGCTTGATTTCTGACAGAAAGGAGTCTAGTTTAGTGGCTTCCTCTGTGTATGTTTGGGCAGTCTCTCTGAAGATGGCCTAACTCAACAGCCCCAGCCTGGAGATGGTGACCCTGCTTATCTTGGCTGCCTTCTGAGGCAAGATTCACTTTCTCCCCAAGGGGGAATCAACTCCTTGCCCCTCAAATTAGTATTCCCTGCTGTGCTTTAATGTAGATAACTCTGTTTAAAACTGACCTATCACCTCCATCAATTGACAGATGGAAACTTTTTATGAGGCTGTCTGTTCATTTGTCTATTGGTTTCACTCCAGCTAAGGCAATGGGTTCATTCTCTCTGAGCACCTAAGGATGGGAAATAGGGAACTATACAGTATATCCTCTGGGTGTGTCCAGGGATCCAGGGGCATGTGGGAGCCCAGAGGATTTTGGGAAAATGAGTAAAAGAAGCCTACATCAGAGCATGATAAGTAATGGAGCACTTTGTTATGGAAAGGCTATCCCACTGGCTTCCCACTGAAGCTGTGAGATGGTCTGATAATTTTAGTAGAGCTGTAGTACACTGCAATGTTGGATTATTAGGTTGGTTTCACTTGCCTGGAACTGTGTTTTAGCGTGACACAGAAAGCTGAAGAAAACTCAAGGAAAGATTATATTTCCAAGAAAATGAAGAATGTGGCCTTGGTATGGTAATGAACCACATTGGTATACATAACCAAACATTGTTATCCTTTTTTATTATGAATTTTCTTGATCTGCTCACGTTTACTCTGTCTGCCTTTTTTCTTCCATATTACTTTACTATAATACCCATTTAGTGCTTAATGCTAAAATACAAAAACATAACGAGAGCAAATAAATACAGAGTAATGAAAAATAAGAATTATATTCTAATCAAACATACTGGGATGTTCTATTAAACTTAATTGTATTCAACATATCTAAAATGACATTTTGATTATGTCACCCTGTAAAAATGTTTACGTTTCACTGACTTTTCTCTAGACATTTCTTATAAATTATATCCAAGATATTATCCTTCTGTGACCTTTTAACTAATGTGTGCATTCAGATGTGGCTGAGAAAGTGGACCTGTAAAGTACACCTATGCTAACAATACTGACAAAATACAGGTACTTTGTAGTGACAGAACATGCCCTTGATATCTCTTTTTACTGATTGTTGTATGCCTGAGGTACCATAAGGAGAGGACAGGGCTGGAGAGCATTTGCCCTCAGGGCCAGAACGTATAAGATGTATTGGGCTTGTAGCTGGAGTGTAGATAATTCACTATTCAGACTTCAGTCATGCTTGGTATTTTATAGTTTCCTGCTTCCCTTTCGAGCTACAGCTGTCTTTGATTTAAAGCATATCTAAACTTTTAAAGAAGAAGTATTATCACAA